GCGGCTATGGCCGTTTACAAGATGTGTTTATTAGAGCTTAAATTTCTTATTTCAAGTTTGTATTCCAAATATGCGAAGCGTTCGTGTGGAAAGGGGGAATTTTTCTCCTTCTACTATGAGCGTTTAAAATCCTTATTTACTCCTCGTAAGCTTCATACTCATACAGTAGAATATGCGAAAGCTTCTTTGAATTTTGTTAGGAACTGTCTCAAATCAAAAAGCTTTGTCATGCAGTTGGGTTGAGATTTAGAGCTTTTGAGTAGTAATCGAGAGAAAGGGAACTTGTTTTCAGCCGGAACTTCCGCAACTTTTTCCAAAGAGAAATTTTGCGAATTTGGAGCACAGATTTGCAAGCTGTACCTAATTGTACGCATGCCCACCACATCGACCTGACATAATTCTTTGTTGGTATATCCATCAAGCTTTCATGGGATATGCTAAGTAAAGTTGTGCGCAATGCTCATATCATTTCGTTACTGTGATCGTTCGTAAGAAGCCTGGAATCGATTCTCAGTAGACCTATTTTTTCCGAATCTTTGAATACGAATTACAAATAAGTGCTGAAAATTCACCATGGTCACTGCGAGGATCTGATTTTCTCGCTAGCTTGAAATTGGCACGATAAGATAGCCCCGCGTTTGGGAGGAAACCTTATTTCTACCTAAGTAAAACTTCTACGATCTACGAGAAACTTAATATGATATCGATAAATAAACGTTGTACAGGCGTAATTTCAGGTGTCAGAATAATATCGAAGTATCTCGAACTGATCAGGCTTCCGGTTGTTTCTGTTCGTCCCATCGTCGGTTCTCACCAGTGCCCTATTTTTATTACCTGCTTTGTCTCTCTCACTAGCATTTTTACTGTAGCGTACTGTTAACGTTTTAATCCCATTTTATTTCTAGGGAACAGTACAGATTTCAAACGCGCGCGATATAATATAGTATAGGAAGAGGGAAATAAACGCTTACTTTTCACCAGTGTTTTACCAGTTTGTAACTCAGTGTTCACATAGACAGCGACATCTTTTGAAACTTGTTGAAGTTTCATTTATCTAAATCATTGTCTCATGATAAGTGTTTGTAATGT